GAGAGGAGGAGGAGGGAGGGGGAGGGGGAGGGGAGAACTGTCGACCAAATATATCGTCGCAATGCTCGAGTTTCGATTGCAGTTATCCTCCTCCTCCCCCCCCCCCCTTTCCTGAAAATTGCACAAACCCGTCTTAGTTTCCATACACGAATTTCCACCCCTATTTGTCATGCTTGTACCCGAGGCTACTTATTTGTACACGTCTCTCCGCATAGTGATCACGAACCACCAAAACTACCATTCCCGGAATGATCGATTTCTCTCAAGAAAGATCAGCTCCAGTTTCCACGATGCGTTAGTTTGATCGAGTACGACGAAAGTTTTACTTTCCTTCTCTCCACACCTTCTTCGTACACCAACCGTTTTATTCTTAATAAGAACGATGATACTTGTGATCATTTTCCAAGATGCTCGACGTATCTAAAAAATATTTCCACGGAATATAAGACATTTCGTTATTGGGTTCATTCGTTGGAATCATTCGTGATCCAATCAAAAGGGGATCGAAGCTCTTTCGTTCGCTTATGACGTAACACCGATCTTTATCCAGAATCTATCTATACGAAAGGTGTCGAAAGGTCGAAGAGTTTAAACCCGAGGAAAGGCGGCAAACGTCTCTGCGGAGCGTTTGATTGTTGGGCGGAATGGAACGGTGGCGAGATTCGATATTACCCCGTCGGAAAAGTAATTTACGGTGTCGTACGGATTTCATCCGCGATCGTGGAAATCGAAACGATTCATAAAGCGAGATAAAGCTCGCTTTCAACGATTTCGCGTCTTCTTTTTCTTACTTTCTTGTTGTTGCCACGACACACGGGAGGACACGGTTGCCAGGTTTGGTTGTTTTCATCATCAAACCCTGTTCTCGTCCTCTTTTATCGGAGTTTCGAGGCCCAACTCTCGCCGAGCGATGTAATTGGGTTTGAAAGGAAAGAGGATGGAAGTTCGAGACAGTTTCGGGTTGTAAGACAAAGAGGCAAGTTTAAAGCTTCTGCTGAAAGCAGTTTACACGCAGGCCGACCTGTTAAATAGCCTGCTCTCCACCCAAGATCTCCCTTCCCCTTTGAGCGATAAACCGTTAAATTTTCACCAACTTGACAAAAGCATAAAGGGATGGTAATTGTACTCGTTGAAGCCATACTTTGCACGATCTTTTCGATATTTGCGGGAAAATTACCAGGAAAGGAGAGGGATAATGCTTAACCCTAACAATTAATCGATCCTTCGAATCGTATCTCGACAAACTCGCGAGAATTCAATTTAATTAGAGATTTTCGTTGAAAATCCGCCCTAAGTGGCGTAATCATCAGCCGATATTGCGTCGCGAGCTCGGCAAAAATAGAGCTGTCGCTATTCCCGCCCTCGTTATCGCCCCCCATTATCGTAACCGTAACCGTTATTGCACGCGAAATCGAGCCCCTCCAATCCCATCAACGATTCGAACGCTGCGTTCCCCAACCGATTTTGCGCGCGTCAATCGGCGCGGCGCAATTATGACAGGTGGTTGGTATGGGAGAGAGAGAAAAGAGAGGAAAAAATCGGCACTTTGGCGAATTTTCGAACCGTGTCCACGATCGGTTGCCGACAGATTTATCCGGGATATCACGCGGGCCATCGAGCGACGCGGTTATCCGGTCCGGATGGAAAAAATGACAACGGTCGGCCGGCTCGTTTCGATTAAGATGAATTTATGTTATGCGAGATGAAAGGATTATTCTTTCGTTCGAACAGATCATTACATCGATTGCGATTGCGTAGCACAATTGGTGTATTATCGTGTTTCCACGATTTTCAAGTGTATATCTCGAGATGCCTTTTAAACGAGTTGTTTGCCGCGAGACAAAGCGCGAGAAATTGCATCGTTATCGCAGGATTTCGATACGAGGCGAGGCACAAATTGGCAGCGAAAGCTCGACTCTCCTAAGTGGCGGAGAACAGCCAATCGAGGCTGATCCGCCGTAATTTCGAACTCTCGTTTCTAAGAAGCTTGGGAGGAGGAAGAGGAGGAAATTTGCAGTTCAAAATATTTAAAGATCGAATATCGATACGAGACGAGTGACAATTAACCGCTTCGTTCCAAGTTCTCGAAATCTTGCTAATACATATAACGATTAAGAAAATTAAAAATTAATTACAAATATTAGCCAGCAAAGCTGGCTAAATAACGGGAAATCTCGAGCGAAACGCCGATTTATTAAGGTACGCGATTCTAAGGCAGTTGAAACGAACGAGGCGGTGGCCTGATATCGATTCGCTTCACGCCATTTTCGAGAAATTAATAATTGCCACGTATCGATAAGTATGCAACAGCTGCCGATATTGAATTAACAGGGCGCAAGAATTCGATCGATCGTGCCCCAACTTTCCTCGAGAATCTTCGTATCGCTGAGAAATAAGTTTCGTCCTCGAGCTTTCGACCGCCCACGACGCGCTTATTACGAAGCTGGAACGATAATATCTGGAGGGAGAGTGGTTGCGTGCGGTAAATAGATAAATGCCGACTTGAAGTGCATGAAACGTGAAGATAGGCGAATCGGGAAAATGTATTGCCACGGAAACAATTTGCATTTAGATCCCTCGATATTTCAAACGAACGGGGATCGCGTTTCGCGACTCTTGTGAAAATTTCGTGCCCCCCTTCTTTCGCTTATCTTTCGGACTATCGTTGATTCGGGATCGAGAATTTTCTTCTCTTCCTCGGATCGTTCGATTATTGGTGATGGAGTAAGGGGGAATATGCTTTGTACGAGTTGCTGTAGCGAGAAAAGAATCGAAGTGGAGTTTCGTTAGAGGAAAATTAATAAATTTTCGGAATTAATTTTGAGTTGGTTATAATAGAATTAACGGGAAATTCATTAGTACACGTACAACGCGTCAAGTAATTGCGGTATCTTTGACCGGTGACGTGTTGAGGTATGCAACGACGAATTAATTAAAAGAGAAGGGGAGAAAAAGGTAGAGGATTTAATAACAAAATCGTTGTCGTTAAGGGAAAGGAATTTTGATCATTTTCAATCGATCGATCTACCTTTTCTTCATTTTCCTCCGACATCATTTTAATCATTTCAAACCGTCAACTTTCTTTCGAACCGAACGTAAACGAGAAAATAGTTTTAATACTTTTATTTTCTATATTTTAAAATAAAATTTAGTTGGGCTATACATATTGGCTGTCCAACTGTCAAATTCGTAGAAATTGTATCAAGACGCACGCATGGTTCGGATTCGAATTTTTTTATTCCAATTTCATTAAACCTGCGTACATATACACTCTTCTCGCTTGATTCGTAATTTCTTCTTAAATACAAACGCAAATAATTAAACGATTTCACATATAATTGGAAATTGGCTTGTCTCGTTTCAGCGATCACTCAGGGATCGTACATCAGATACTACACGGCCGTCTGGTACGACACCGCGGCCCTGAAGGAGCATCGGAGCAGAACTCGTCGTGACGCTTCTTCGAGCTCCGGCTATCCGGGAGACGCGACGCTGAATCTACGTCTTCACGCTCTCGACAGGTTGGTCGAAAAAGAAAGCATCCACTCGCTCCACCACGCTTTCGCTTCGAGGGAGAAAGAAATCGAGGCGGTAACGCGGTCAACAGTGGGGCGGGGAGGAGGGTGAGAGAGCTTTATCGGAGGAAAATTCCAGTTTCTCGCGGCTGTCAAAGGCGGAATAATCTATGGATGAGCGGCCATTTTAACGGCGGTAGCGCGGGGAGGAGGGGGAGGGGGTTTATAAATTTTCATTTCGGCTCGACGTCGACAGACAAACATTGGCGGTGATGTATAAATGATCGCGTTGTGGTGCGCGATCAGCTCGAACGAACGGGGATTTTAAATAAAAAGGATGTTTTCGTCAAATTTTTTCGAGTCGTCGAGATGAAAATTATATATCTGTGCGACCGATAGATAGTTGCTCTTTTCATTATTCGATTAGGGTTTTTTGTATCGAATTATCGGAATATGAATAATATTAATTTCGGTGAATTATTATTCTTATACGTTGGAATTTTATGAAGATTTCAGAAATCCAGAAAAAATATGATTCGATACACACAGGACCAGTGTTGGTGAATTTGCATATGGAATATGGGACGGGTATTTTTTTTTTTTTTTTTTTTTTTTGTAGGCTTCACTCTCGAGAAAATTATATTTGAAAACTCGACAAATTACTCGTAAAATTTGTTAATTTCCAATCCGATACGAGCGCGCGATCAGCAGAAAGTTTTTTCATTTTTGAAAATGCAACGAAAATTTTGCCATTTTTTTTTCTCGAAAATTCGTTGATCACACGTAAATATATCTAATTTATTATCGACCAACGCAAGTTCTCTCTCTCGTCCCAGAAATTCAGAAAATTATTCGGAAATTATATCGGCGAGAGCGTATAATATTTTTTTTCAGATACTTTTCGATATTACTTGACAACTTGCAATCAAAGAAATCGATTAAAAACACGTTATAAAAGGGTAAGATTTTCCTTTGATTACGATAAATTTTAATTTTTTCAAATTTCTAAATTTCCAGATTTCGAAATACGTTCGTACGAAAAATGAGAATAAGAAAATACTCGAATTCGTTTACCTTTGCTGAAAACGAATTGAAAAGTTTGGCAATTTTCGACACGCCATATTGACGATGATTTCCCCTTCGAAATAACGCAAAGGAAAATCGCGTTGGCTCACGATGCAAAGGGGTAATTATATTATGCACGCGAAACGTTCTCGAGGGTGAACACAACTTTCCACGACTATATATAATTGAACCAAAGAAGTCGAATTTTCTTACCAACCAGCCAGTTTCATTATATATTTCGAGCGTGCAAATTTACGCGTAATTCAACGCGTCAGCAGTAGAAATGAACATTCTTGGAGAAGTATCTCGGCTAAATGAAACATCGAGCGAGATACCGAATTGTTCAAAAGCCCTTGTTGCGTTGTATAAAAGAAATTTCGAATCATCGTTTTATTTTAATAGCTCCGAGATGATCCTAGTTAAAATATATAATAACGATACATAAATTAACGCAAAGTATAACAATATATTCGATCATCCATCTAAATCCCTGCAACAAGGGGGATACTGTAATTGATCAGGGGAGGGAGTATATAAATAGCCGTATAAAAAAAAATAAACGGAATAAATTTACATGATTTACCAATTAAGGGAATTATAACGTCAAGAGCCGTGGTAACGATGGAAAATCGATACGAGATACGTTATGACGAGATAATCCCTCGAACGAGTTGTACGGATCGTAGTAATGGATGCACGATTATCCCCGTTGCGCATTATCCGAATACACGCGATCGTCAGCCTTGTGCGACATTGACTCGACACGGTGGCCGTATGCTTGCAACCGACGCAACCACGTCAAGTGCCTCTAAATCTCCGCCTCACGAGAGACCTCTGTTCCGCCATCACTGCTCCTTCGATTCCTCGTCTCCTCAATCTTCCTCCCGGAAGAGAGTGGTTTCCTTGCCTCGTCCAACCATCTTTCTCCGCCATCCTTCATGTTCATTCGAACAATCCATCCTTCATCCGCCGTATTATTTTTTCCACCCTGCTCGAAAAGTGTCTTGGCGACGAATCCGTTCTTCGAGCGCAAGTGGAATTAACTTTCGGCCTGAAAAATTAGTTTCGAGGATCAAGTTTCATCTGGAAATGAATTTTATTCATCGCTCGTCCAAATAAATTTTATTCTCACGGAAGGGAAAAATTATTACGCAATTCGGCGAGAAATTCGTTGCCAACCTGTCGTGTCATACCACACCCCCTCCCACTCTGACCAATTCCCTCGCTTTTGACTTTTTAAACGCAATTTCGTCGCTTCTTCCTTCTCAAATACGTACAATAGAAGAGCGAACCCTTCGCCGATTCATGCTCAGCTCAATGTCGAACAAACCACCGAGATCAACCGCGGGGGAATCGGCCTCCATCTTCCTTCGTTCCTCCTCTTCTTCCTCCGTTAAGAAGAGCATTCGCCACGAGATATATATCGCCCCCTTTTGATCCGACCTCGGTGAAATCGCGTGCAAGGTGGCTGCGAATTCCCCATCCTGGCCAGCTCCACGCCACCCCGGCGGCATTAAATTTTCCTCGAAATACGAGGATGGGGAGGGAAAAATAGTGGCGGCGAAATTTATAAATGCGTGTTTCGGATAAGGGGGTGGCTTTATCGATTTCGAAGAAATTTACAAGTTGCATCGCTTGACGACCCGATAAATTAGGAGGACACGAGGGATCGTATTTGAAGAAGTTTCGTTTCCGTTTTATTTGAATAAGATCACGATTCGGTGGATGTTTAGTGGACGTGGTTGGGGGAAAGTTTTCGTTCTATAAAACTTGGTTTCTATTGCTTGATTCGGTTATGGAGCGGTTGTTTTACGAAGGGGGAGTATGAAACTGGAGAGAAAACAAATTCTGAAATTCTTGCGGCGTTTCGATAAAGCTAAGCAGAGGATAAATTCGAGGATGGTACGAGGTTAGATGTCGTATCGATGCTCGTATATTTCAAAGATAGTCGAACACGGATCTTGCTTTCCAATCAAGCAAGAGTATATCGAATAAGCGCGCGCTTTTATTATCTCCCGTTCAACTGGGCTGGGTTCAGAAGAATGATTCGTTTTAAGGAAACGTGAAAGACACTCTCGTCCACTTGCGAAAAATTTATTATCCCCCTTTTTTTTCCAATTTCTAATTGGAGAACGATTCAATCACGATCAAAAGTTTCCGACATATTATTATTATAAAATCGTGTCGATTTACAAACAAAACATATATTTGTACAATTTCAACCACCATCGAAAGAATTCGGTATTCCATCCACGATGCGGTATAATCAAGAGGAGGATATACAACAAGGAAGGGGGAGGATTATCGAGGAGATCGCCGAGTTGTTCGAAAAAGGATGAAACACACGGTTCACCCTGCTAACTACAAACGGGTAGTTAAGAGCGATTGTTATCGTTTGGACAATGGGATATCGCGACAAGGATGGTTATTTTCGAATTAAACCCCCTTCGAACCGAGAGATAAAGGGATGCAATTAAAATCAGCCACGTAGTCTGAAATTTCGTTCTTTTGTCCCCCACTTGTCCAGGCTTAATTGGAGGGTTCGTTAATGAGTGATAATCGTACATACTGTTGCGAGTAAACCAGCGGCCCGATACGCTTCCAATTAACCTTAATACCGGATACTTATCGCGCTCGAGCCAATCGCGTCGTCTAATTGTAGAAATTTCGGACGTGGCGAACGGTGGAAGGCCACCCCGGAGAGCGTGTTTCGCTCGGAATCAATTCGAAATCGATTCCGTCGAGGCGAGGCGAGCGTGTTTCCGTATCACGAGAAGAGAAACAATCTCTTGCTTATTAAACCCCTGTTTATCGAAACCTACCTTTTACCACCGATAAGATATTCCATTAAGTTTTGTCGTCCCCCCTTTGCGCTTTCGTCGAGCTTCTCTTAACATTACACACTCGTCAGTTGCCACTTTTATTTCCCGGAAGGAGAAATCGCGTCTCGAATAAGAAACGTTAAATTGAAATCAAGAAATGTAAAATGATTTTCTCTCACGTTCACTTAAAATTGAATATGCTTATTCCGTTCTTTCGAGTAGATTTTTCAGAAATGCGAAAATGGAAATTGCATTGACAAATTTACGAATTTTGAAAGTGAAAAAAAACTTATAATTACATTGCAATTAACGTGACGCATGACGTGAAAATAATTAACTTTAGTTATTATAGTGACCACTGCGGAAGTGGATAGATCCAGCGGTATTAATCAGCGAGGAGGGGGGCAAGAAATAGCTTTTACTTCTCGCGTTTTCCCCCTCGAATGTACGAATTACGAGGTAAACGAGGTTGTCGCGGGTGGAGCGTGTTGCAACTAATCCCATTTCTCAATGGTACACGCATCACTCACACATCGCTCCTGATTAATCGTCCTTTCGAGGAGGAGGCGAGCCCGCCCCCCCTCCCCCGCCGTAAATTGAGCAATAACGCGAGCAGCCTCGACAATAATTTTCGATTCAGCAACCGTGAATTTCCATAAATATTCCAACCCTTGTTTCCAGTTGTTTCGAAACGGTTAACGTTTTGGACGTTTGGAGCAACGAAGCAACGTTTTGATTTGAACCGGTGTGCCGGTTGAAAGCTAGTTGCTGGTACGATTTGTGGGAGGAGGAAAGGGAAGAATTGAAATTAAAGCAAGTCGTCGTGTCGTCGCTTGGAGATCGAAGAATTGGGATATTTATATTAAATATACAACGATGCGTGTATTTATAAATAACCGTTTTTAGAACCCATTATTATTATACTAAGTTATAGCTATAAAAGCACAGTTAATTACACGTGTAGTTTAATAACACGTGAAACGGGGATCTCTATATAGTTGAGAGCGCATTATCGCAATTCCCTATTAAGTATAAAGCGAATTTTATGTGCCCAGCTTTAAATATCAAATTATAGGGGTGGGGGGGTGGGGAGGAGAGGAAGGTTCTCCGTATAGAAAT